TGGTAATGGACACTACCAAATCATGCAATGTCAAATGAAACCAATTTTTCAGGTCCACATAGTTAATTGCACAGTTGCGTTTTTATGAGTTTGCTTTTGGAGTTATTTGAAGGATAAAACACAACTAGTATTATAAACGAGTATATATATTCAATTGTCTACAGACTATATTAATTAGAGTCATATGGGGGTGTAATTATTGTAGAATGTAGATGAACGGAGCAAATGTAAATGTGTTTTTTTATAGAAAAAAAAATTATTTGTTTAATTGTGTAGTAAAAGAACGTTTTATAACTAAAAGTTAGTAAATAAAATAAATAAAATAAAAATTTTTAAATTATTTTATTGCAAATATTGAATTACAATTATTTACAATTACACTCCTAATGAATACAATTTGATAAAGCCATTTAATTTTTGTAAGCTGTTTTTTGAAAATATTATGAGACGCATAAAAAACCAGAGGGTCAATAATGAATTTGTTAAGTAAACTATAAAATAAACAATAAAAATATTTATAATTGCAATGTACAATGTTTAGCGATTAAGTTTTTTACAAGTTAATATGAGGTCTGGATCTTTAGTTTCACTTGACCGCTTCCCCCAAGGATGGATTTACATATTACCAACCGTTAACGATTTAAATGCATTACGTAAAATAGTTTTAAAATAAAGTAGCTAATAAATAAAAAGTCAATTTTACTGTTTACATTTAGATGAAGATACTGCTCAAGCAGATGAAATATAAGTGTAATTTTATAATTGATATAAACAAAAATTACTGTTTAATTAGTTTGAAACTTCACAATAAACAATAATATGTGAAAAAATTAGCTTTTTCAAATGGTAACTATACATATTTAAAAAATCTGCTTCAACTTTCACGCACAATGTTTTAAGTATAACGTTATAACGCTGTATTTAGCTTGTTTGTCTACCTTTATAAATACAATAGGTACATTTTTTTACGTTATTCACCAGTTGCATTTTGATCTGATAATACTTTTAATGGCTATGATAACTATAACGTATCTTTTACATTATTTGCATATTTTAGTTAAAATAGAAAATTATTTTATTGTACAAATATTTTGCAATAAGAATTACAAATAAACAATCTATATAAGCCATCTCACAATCAATATCCCTTGTCAAAGTTTTCAATGACCACTTTCTATCTTCGAATTTATTTGTTCGCTTCTTTGAATTGAACCTTTATCAACGATAGTCAATAAAATAGTCGGTCGTATCTTTTCTATGCTACTTAATTGATCATTGATTTTTTTGTTTAGAAGTTTATTTCAGCTTATATTTAACACGATTGTGTTTCGTCAAGTGCGTTTGATTCCGAACGATAGCTATTTATGTCTCGGACTTTTATCATTGAAATACTTTCGTCAAGCGTCGTTGTATTTTTAATCCGTTAAGGCAAATTATAGCAACGTAGTCTTATCGAATTCAATCTACATTAAACTTGCTGAAAAATTCGAATTAAAATGAAATAATAAATTCATACGTTAAGCATGGGTAAGCATAAAGAACAAATTGTGCTGTTAATAAAAATGTAGCAAGAAGGCAACAATAGGAGCAAAAAGTCACATTCCAAAATACGTGACTGCTAGGTTTGCTAATTGGCTTCGTTGCCACCCTATTCTCCTATACATCATCACGGACCTAACGAAATGTTTTATTGTACTTACATGACGCGACTTCTCGGTATTTACTCATACATCCTTGTCGGTAGCTATTATTTATTATAAAACAGTCAGACAGTGTTGTTACTTGTATTACCCGGTCTCCTGATTGAAGACCTTCCCTGGGTTGTACTGCCCTGCGAAATTGGCTAATTGAAATTAATTAATTTAATTTTAAATTAATTTTTCGAACACCGTCATCGACAAATAGCTAGGTAATAATTAAAGACTTCGCATTAATTACGGCTTTAATGTGCTTAGAAACGGAGTGCTGGAACAAAAACGGCATACCCGTTTCCATCATACTAATTACAGTATCCAATAAGTATGCGATAACATTAATACAGCCAATAATTACAATTGTATTATACTTATAATATATAAATTGTATTCATTTTAAACAACTTTAGCTTTTCGAAAATCGTGTAATTATAATAAAGCACGGAAACTAAGAATCGAAATGGTTTTTTTTTTCAAACAGACCCCTAATGAGTTCTATTCAATTTCCCTTATGAAACGCAATTATTATCCGAAAGAGCTAAAATGTACCAATAATTCTTAAATACAATAAGTCATTCCGTCGAAGATTCCAAGTTTAAATTGCCTTCTTCTTCACGACAGTCTTACAGTTTATTTTTTGGCACCGATTTAGAACTTCAAAGGAATAAATACGACCAGAATGTTGATGTGTTAAAACACGAATGAAAATAAAGAAAAACTGTCTAAATTAGTAGTTATATAGTACGTCAATACTATTCATCTTAGCAATACAGTTATAAGATTTTTTTTTAATGGTATTTTTTTTTTTTTTTGTCAGACTATCACACAGTTTCCCTATTAATATGATAAATTACAATTTTTTCCCTATCAAAACTGTTTTGCGCTGGACAATTATGTGTGGGCAGTATTAACAGTAGATTAACCAAATTTTCACAATGTATAGAGAAGCACTTTATCTATGCCGTAGCATTTTTTTTTTATTTGTACACTAAATATTTGTTTATAAATAAATGAAAAACTGAAAAAAATAATGGATCTTTACAAATGAATAATTTTGATTGAGTTTATGCTATCACAAAACGAAAAACGCCACGACATAGATGAAGTTCTCTATGCATTGTAAAAATTGCATACGGTTACAGTAAATACCGCACTCATATACTTGTCCACCACAACACCATTGTCGTGGATAAATTATGGGTGTGTAGCGGCGCCCTATTAAATATGGTAAGTAAAAATAATGAAAAACATTACAGCAACAAAGCGCAAGCAGCGGTGCAAGAAATTTTGTAATAATATGAATAAATAGGTTATAAAAATATTATTTAATCACCACGTAAAACGGAAAAGTTTTATTTGGATTTTTATTCGGTCACTAATAAATGGTTTTAATTAATTATCGATTAAACAACCGCCTTTGCGAAGTTATTATATTGTTATACTTGTAACATGAAGATTAAAAACTTTTAAATGTATACCCTATAAATACTGTGTTTAAGTATTATGTAAACTATTTACAATTGATTGCAAGTTGACGAAAACTTATTATAGGTATTTACAGAAATGAGGTTTGAAAATTGGCTTTACTATCATACTAAACTTTGTTCCCTCTTTTATAGTTGTTTGGTTAAGATAATCACTTCTGAACATTTTTTTTGTTATACTTATTTTAACTAGTGTAAATTAATGTAAACATTGTAGTTGTAAAGTATTTTATAATTTTTTATGAAAGACTGTTGACAGAATTAATGTGCACTTATAAGTTGAAAGTATTTAGTTTGTTAGCAACCTTAAAAATGCCTGGAAATATTTTTAGTATCGATTCGGTATGTTATTTTGAAAACTAAAACCGCTAAATGTATTTAGATTTTTGTAATGGATTTATATGTTAAAACATTGAAAACAACTACGGTTGAGTAATGTTAATAGAATAAATATAATTATTATTATTGTATACATAAAAATTACACACTTAATAGCACATTACATTCTCAAAAACGGTCTAAAATATTTAATATTTGCATTTCTTATAATAATATTTATTGCACTTGGGCTGCTTAAATATTAACCTAGACGTCATGACATCAAATAATTTATTATGAAAGTTCTTGTGTTTATGAAAACGAATATTTTAAAAAAGATGGATACGTTACGCTTGCTATTTAAAATTGGATAAGTATTAAATCTAAACGAAATTAAAAAATAAATTAAACATTTTAACCGAACAACTATAAGCATACAATTTATATTTTATATAAATTATACAAGTATGCAACATACAATTATACATCGTTGAGTTATAAACTATAAAATCCATTTTTTACTTTTTGGATACGGTACAATTATTTATTAATTGATACTTCAAACGATAATTAAAAACGTCGATGTCTTGTCATTTATTTTTTCAATATTTTATTCTATGAATTAAAATATTGAATAGTACCTTGTAACAATAATATATTATAAGTTATTGTGTATTATAATTTATTTTTGGTACTAACATGATCAATTATATATCAACTTTTACCCTGTAGTTATAGTTATTATTGAGCATCCACGTGTAATATAATATTTGATCGTGTTTAAAATTACGTTTAAAAAATACACATTGCATGTTTAACTGGCCATATTTATCTCCCTAAAGGAGGATAAGTATTATTTTATGCTTTAATCTGAATCTATCTTTACATGTTTATAATATAAATATATAGGGGAACACGTAAAACACAAAACGAAGTTTTTTAAAACTACATCGTTTAATGATCGTTTAATCTAATTCAAGTTAATATTTATGTCCATTATGTTCTGTTGGTAGTGTGTGGCCTATTTTAGTGTTTATTATTAGTTAAACAACTAAATACAAACGGTATTACAAAAAATTTGTAAAATACATTTTAACCTGTGTAATAATTATTATATTGGAAACGTAAAATGTAAATTAATTAAATCATAAACCATAATGTCTATCGTGTAGATGGTGAACATTATAGTCTAACAAAAAATCCAGTATACATTTATATGGTCGAAAAAAGAGATTACCACTGTTCACTGTTATTGTTAATATAGTGATCATATAACGAGGGCCATCGATAAAAGATATTATCCATAGCCCAAGATGAACGATGCAATGCATTCGTTTTTATAAAGCTGAATCACAAAACTGTACTCGTTCGTTTGATATCAACCCATTCTCCTCTTTTCTACCTTAGACTAGTGATATGATACAACTGCTGTATGCCTTGTTACTTTATACACGGATTTATTGTTGTAAATTTCATATTAATGTTTTTTGTTTTTGATTTTTAGTTGCTCGGAACGTTCTCATACGGATGTATTTATTCATTTTTCGTTCATTATTATCAAGTACTGAGAAGTAAGTAATATTTATTATTATCTGATTATTCATGCATAATATACTATTATTTATTACAATCGTTCAAGTGTATGTATTGCTTTGAAGCGAATATAGTTCATATATTGTTGATATATTTCACATCAAATGTGGAAAGTGCAGAATATTGGAAATAATTAACTTTCTTTTAGATTTTCTCGGAATGTTTCAAATATTTTAGTGTCCGTTTAATATCTATTAAATAATTTATAAAACTTATTTGTCTTCGTACAACATTTTTTTAAAAATAAACAAAATAGTACCTTTACATCATTGAACATTATTAGATTTGTCTTTTCCTCTCTGCACTATTTTTTTTTTCGTATACTGTCTACAAATAATAAAATAATAATACAGTATTATAATACACGAGATTGACGATTCCTACTATTTGTTAGTATAAATAACATAATGTGAAAATATTATTATTATGAAATGTGAATGTGACCGTCTAGATCGAATAAAGAAACTACTGCTGAGTAATCTATCATTAAAAAGAAAACTCATTGAAAGAAAACCGAATATGCGACCCACGTCAGGCCAATTTTTTCCCTATTCTTTATTTTGCATGATAAATGTCTGGAAATCGTCTGTCGTACAGACAGAATTCATTACTTTCGTAAGACTTGTAAACGTCTGACTAAACATTAATTTTTCCAATACTAGGAAGATGAAGAAGATAAATATATTATTCACACACACATACGCGCGCGCGCGTCCGTAAAGAAATGTTTTATATTCGCAGTATACATTTATATGGTCGAAGAAAGAGATTATCGTTTTTCACTGATTTTGTTATAAGTGATCATAGCAATAGAGCCACTGTTAAAATACATTATCCATAGCCCAAGACGAACGTCGCAATGTTACTCGTTTTCATAAAGCTGAACCATAAAACTGTACTCGTTCGTTTGAAACCAACCCTCCCCCTCTTTTCTACCTTAAATATAACCCAATTATACGTCAACACGTACATAAGGCTTATTATGGAGAAATTAAAAAATAGTCTACATTACTATACGTCGACCTATACTATAATATACTAGATACCTATAATTTCTGTACTATATTTACTATTTAGTATCAAAACATACCGCAAGCATTTAGTGGTGATCATCTAGTTTGAATTAGTATTGTATATACGTTGTTAAGATCACAAGAGGGCTTGGGGAGATTAAATCTGCTGAAATTATTTAAAAGTCTTCTAAAAATGTTTTTATTTGAGAACTGAACTGTGTTTATGTTAACTATTGAAATTAAGCCTACCTGAGTACTTCTTATGGTTGAATACATGATGTAATATAATAAATGGTTATTGAATAGACCTTAGTTAGCTTACTATTATAATTTTCAGTAGAGTAAAGAGATATTAAAAAATAAATATTTGAACCTTTTATATAATATACTATATTATGTAGCAGATTATATTAGTATTATACAATAGAAATGCCAGATTGTTTTATCGTACAATTGTATAATTGTATTTGGACGTCATAGAACATAGAACTTTAACGATGTCGACGAGAGTACTTCTAGTTGGCAGCTATTTAATGACTAAACAGCTGGGAATAAAAAAAGTCGTATAATGTTAAAAGTTGTTTTCAAAACAGTTTATCGTTTCCGATAACAAAGTTTCAGAGTACATAGAAAAGTAAAACGAACCCATTTGTGCAGATGCCAATGTTAACTCGTATTTATTTTATTATTGGGAAGTTTGACGTTACTGCAGGTGAACCTCATCCAAAATTTAGTTTTGGATAATAGAGACTGCCATTATTGTTCTATAATATACTAATACTATCTATGATAATTCGGTATAAAACGGTAATATTTAAGCATTCGTACTAACAAGTAGTATTTGTTAGGGTCAAGTGGAATAATTTTAAGCGAATGGAGTAAAACATGTAAATGTGATTTTTTGGGTACAATTTTTTAATTTATTTTTTTAATATTCACGTCTATGAGTTATGAAAATAATCAAGCACCTACTTATTTTCCCCATTTATTTTAATTTTTAACGCCCCTTCCCCAAATTAGCAGAAGTGGTGAAAATGGACAACGTATGCTTCGGTGCATTATGAGCTGAACCCGATTTAATACTAAAATATAAAATAGCAATTAAATTTACAATATGTAATATTATCACCCTACTGTAAATAATAAAAAAAAGTAATTATGAGTTTGTAGAACAAGTTTTATTTTTTAGAATTTATCATACACTTTTTTCAAAGACTATTTCACGTAGACAACAGAAATTTAAAACAGTTGTAAGTAGTGGCCTCAACACAGAGGTGAACTTTGAAAATTGATTTTTGACTTTGAGGTTAGTCTGTCATAGGTGTTTTAAAGGGTTAAATGGGTCGACCAATAAATTAAATTAGGTTTGAAAAATTTAAGCTTCGTCAATTTCCATTCATTTAACCACGTATGAACAAATTCATATTGTCTGTCATGTAAAATATAAACGAAATTGATTTGATGTCCATTAAAGGGATTGCATGCGGTCTGTTTTTTAACGTTTTAGACCAAAAAGGCAGACAACATTTTGAACACTTAAGTTAATCAGATTTCAATTCTGTAAAGATATACGAGTTCTTAGGAAACTTTACTAGGTGTGTAGGAAACAGATTTTTGATTTTTTGCTTTTTTATGTAAAAAAAATTGCAAATTCAGTTTATTTAATTAAAATTTTAAATTGAAAATTTTAAATGAAAATTCGGCTTCCTAAATGACATAGTAAAGTAGTCAAAGAACTCAAACCGCTTTAGAGAATTGAACTTAAATCATCTTATGTAATCGAAATGTTGTCTGGCTTTTTGGTCTAAAATAAACCAAAAAAGCTGTTACTCATAGAAACAATTAAAATATTATATTATATATTATTATTATTATATTATAACAATTATAATTCAAAATAATACCTTTGAAGCTTGTACAAATTAACCGGTAAATTAATTGACATGATCAAAATTTATTGAAACCACTTATTTCTTAAATATTGCCTATACAAAACTCCTTAAAAACAGACCGCATGCAATCCCTTTAAGAAATAAAAATATATAAATATTAAAATTTTATTGAACCAATCCAAAATGGTAGAATTTTAATATAAATTATACATACACAAATGCATGTTGGTTACATTTGTTGGAATTATACTGATTATATTAACTTAATATTATTTGTTATGCCGCGTGCACTATTCGTCTTATACGTTATGCATATATGAATAGATGTTTAAATTTATTGTGTTCATAAATCATCTACACAATTACTAAATGTATAAATTAATTGTAAATCTAATGAGACTTCTTGTTCTAAAATGATTACAACTGCAGTAAGGTATGTGTATAGGTACGTATTACCATTTAGCTGCAAAATAGTTTAAATCCCAAATGTATAAGATTTGTAGATTTTTTTATTAATGAATTTTAAATTACTTTGTTAAAAATTTGTTTCTTTTTAATATCATTATAGAGTCATCGACCGACATTATTTATCTATGGATAAATAATAGTAACAATAAAAATAAATAGAGTTTAAACTCCAGTGTCTTTTATTAAAAATACAGATGGAAAATCTCAATGGAACGATGATGTCTGGCGATACAATATATTATATGTACACAAAGAAGATTTTTTTTGTGTTATGAATGATAATAATATTACTGGACTGAGGCACGATTATAGTTTTACAGATAGGTATGTAAAGTTTAAGTAACGTACATAAAGTATAAATTAAGTAGAGTGAAATATTTACATTACAAATTTTGCTGTCTACCAATGCCAACAATTTCTGCATTAGCATAAATAAAGGCGAGCCGCGATATAGTGTATACAATGTATATTATAAATATATTATTTATCGAGAATTTAGTCGCATCTATTAAAATGTGTTTTATGTAAATTGAATCCAAATTCTATACAAGTAGTTTTTCTTAAAATTCGTCCTGTTACTTTAAATAAACGTCTTGTGATACAATCAAAGCACTATTCTAGTATTGTTATAATTAATATGATTGTAACTGATTTGAAGTTCTACTAAATTAAAAAAAAAATTGTCTACGGTTGTCATTATTTATTGTGTTTATATTTATTATGATATGCTATTTTTATTACATCATGTTGTCCAAAAACACGGTTCGGCAATATCGATGTCCTAGTATTGTTATTACTTTGTATGCATCTCAAGATCCAGGTGGCCTACTGCTCAAAAGTCTAACAAATGTATACGTTCAATAGAAAAAAAATCTTCAAAAGGTTTGAATTGGATCTGACCATTTTTACTTCAATGCGGAAACCGTATTACTGTATATTGGACATAGGTGAACGGTCGATGGACGTTTAAAACAAACGAATTGTATAGTTTCAAATAGTATATAAAGGAATAAATATGAGCTCATAAACTCGATGAACAACATCAATAAACCGCCTGAAACGACTTAAAACTGTAAAAGCGTTGACTATACTGGAGGTTACACAAATGTGTCTCACTGAACGGTTAATTTCGTCTGTCACGGTGACTATCATTTTATTTTCCTCGACCTTGTACGTCGCCCAGACCGAACGATATTACTTATCCGTCCATCGGTCCATTATGTGTAGCTATTCAAGGTTCATTATTTATCTTTTTTATTTTTTGTTGTCGCATATTAAAAATACCAAAACAGCGGAACGGTTTGTTAAGGTTATACATTTTTCAAAATCATCTCTCGAATTTCTTGTCGCCGGAGGTATCGGAGGTTCTTGTCGCTACCGAATGAGTTCTCTTTTGTTATTCATATTATAATATAATAGTGTTATTATATTTTTTAACCCTTTAATCTAAGTTAAAATACCGGTGAACCAAAACACACAACAAAGCTGTGCCTAACTAAAATTAGTATACAATTTTTTTATCGTCAGTTATTACACCCAACAGACCGGTGTACATATTACTTTGAATGTACTACGTCAGTCACCTACAAAGTATGGAAGAACGCT